TCAGCACAAATACAACATATACATACATACATACATACATACATACATACATACATACATACACACACACGCACACATACACACATACATACAGACACACACATACACACACACATACACACACACACACACTGGTCTTGTTGTATTCGGGTCTTTTCCCATGTCAGATTGAGATTGTCTTGGCAATGTTTCAGCGAGGTCTCACTCGCCATCCTCAGGCTGGGTTTTGGGATCTTCAGGCTGGTTTTGAGCCCAAAACCCAGCCTGAAGATGGTGAGCGAGACCTCGCCGAAATGTTGCCAAGACAATCTCAATCTTACATGGGAAAAGACCCAAATATAACAAGACCAACATATCTACACCTGTGAAAATCTACGAAAACACACACAGACACACACATACACACACAGATAGATAGATACACACATACATACACCCACACACACATATATATATTCTGCTGATCCTCCAAGCTCATGCTTGCAATAATTGGAATAAGCAAAGGCATTACTAGCAGCATAGCAATATTAAATATCTGGATTTCAACAGAAATTTGTTAATCTATCTTAGTACTTCTATATGTCTTTGATCAATCAACTATAAGTGGCCCATTAGTCTACTGATGGAGGTAGAAAAAGAGAATTCTGGCAGCATTAGAAGAGCTGGAGATCCAAACTGAGGGGGGGGGACCCCTATCCATATGGCTGCTAAGAAACAACACTAATTTGATGGCACATAATCAATTAACACAAATTAAACAACAAGTGTGCCATCATTTAATGAAACAAACTAAACCCTTGGTGATATTTCAGAAGCAAGAATGGGCATCATATCAATATTCCCTTAGTCAAGATAAAGTATGTAATTAGCTTACTCGAGCCCATTAAATTCTGATATCCTATCTGTTGCCCACCTCAAGATTTGGCAAGATAAGCATCCATTTCCCCCAAAGAACACTCGGAACCCACCATCCAAATTAAAATAATTGTGTATGGTGGTTAACACTCATAGGACCCCTGGGTACTTTCTGGTGCCAACAATTTATTAGATCTCAGGTAACAAACCAGGAATCTTGCAGAAATTCCAGTGAGACTTCAGATTGAAGCGTTTGTGCTACTCCAACGTTTCATTACCCAGATAAGGTAACATCATCAGTGCACTGATAATAAAATGGGTAATGAAATGCCTACAGAAAAGCAAGCAAGCTCAGAGATCACCAAGGACTCCTCATTTCAACCCTGAGCTAAAAAATATTCTCCTTTATTGAGACTTCGGGATTTTTTTGTGAGATCCCAGTGAGAGATGGTTGAAATTATTTTCCATGTAGTCCTTTCATAAGTTTGGGAGGATTTGGATAGGGACACCAAAGCCATAGCAAAATTGGGGCCTGGGGGTCTAAAACTATGGATGTTTTGTTTCCAGGTGAGCATCTAGTTCTCAAGGCTCTCATTTGGGCTGCTAGATTTGTCTTTGCTTGCCTGATTGAGTTTTTTCCTTGTCTTTCTGGATTTTTGAATAGAGTAGAGTAGAGTAGAGTAGAGTAGAGTAGAGTAGAGTAGAGTAGAGTAGAGTAGAGTAGAGTAGAGTAGAGTAGAGTAGAGTAGAG